CCCCCCCATGTTGTCCTGCCTTACCAATGTTAAAATCTGGTCACCTACCTTTGTTATGTATATTCACAGGTATTTCATTTTCTTTTAAGCTATTGTGAAAGGTATTGTCTTCAAGTTGGTTCTCTGCTTGACTTTTACTGAAATGTATGAAGGCTACTGATTTGTGAACATTGATTTTGTATTTTGATAGGTTACTATATTCCTTGATTACTTCCAGGAGCCTTGTGGTTGAGTCAATGGAGTTTTCTAAGTATGAGATTATTATCATCAGCAAAGAGGGAGAATTTGACCTTCTCTGTCTCCATTTGAATACTCTTGATATCCTTCTCTTTCCTGATTGCATTAACTAGAACTTTATTGAAAAAATTGATGAGTATGGTGGAGTTCTGTTCGGCTTATTTTGTGGAGGTCCATTGCTTAGTTTTATTACTTGCACCATTGTGAAAGCTAGGCTTGTCCTTTAGTTTCTGGGTGTCTTTACTTTGGTAGTGACCAATTTTGATGATCACTGTGAAGAATGGGTCTGAATAATTCCTGCAGAGCTGCTCTTGTTGGGGCATAATTCCTCCTCTTTCACCATCACAAATATCCTGTGCCATGCTTATGATCACTCCTACCCCTTTCCCTCTGCACCTTCTCTAATCCCTAATCTATGTCCATCTCAGTAATTTTGCATAGACTATTTTTAAATGAGGGAAATATCCATGCATTTTAACTTTTAATTGAAGAAGTGGTATGCTGTATGTTTATATTATTATAACAAAACCTATGTTGGGAGAGTAAAGGATTTTGATTAAGAAATTATAGTTTTTAAGGTGTTAGATACATAGGTGTTCTTTATATTATTACCTGAAATGTTCTTGATACCTAAAATACTATATGATAGGGGAGAGAGAGAAAATGAGAATTTTTTGAAAGGTTCAGTGTAACAAATGTTCATAACATTTACTTTCTTTCTTAAATTTATTTTTATTTTTAAGATTTTTAAAATTTTTAAAAATCAGATTCTAAGTTATTTTGAGATTACTGATTATCCTCTTTGGTATTCCTTGGTGATTATTAAACACATTTAAAATACATTCTCTTACGTATCTAGGCTATATGGTATAAAAGCAAGATTTATTATTAGTAGATTATTAATAATATAATGTACTATTTTTAATAATTATTAAATAAGGCTAGAATATTTTATTAAGGCTGCTATACTGGAAAGTAGCTTAGTCTAAATAAGCAATTAACATTGTTTTTCTTTTTAGGCACACCAGATTAATGTTGGTTATTATCTGACATTACTATTTTTATATGGAGTAGCTCTTACTGAAAGAGGAAAGAAAGAGGTATGTATGTAGCATGTACTGTTAGTCGTTTTAAGCCTTTTTATATATACTGACTTCATTTTAGCATATTAAAATGTTGATTTTTAAAAATTCTCTACAAATTGAAACTATTCAGGGACTTTTTATTGTATATAAATTACAGTAATTATTTAAAAGATTATATTGTGGAGCTAAAAATACTGTTACGGGAAACTGTTAACAGTATCTTTTAAATGTTTGCCCTTTATGTAAAATGGGAAATTACTTAAATTCTTTCTTTCACTTATATTTTTTGGTTTAAAGAAATTCATTTTCTAGTGCAGCTTAATTTCTGGTTTTAATCTTAACCTCTTTTGTAAAGTATGAGTTTTACCTCAAATTCTTTGCTATTAACAAAATGCAAATAAATAAATATTTGAGAGTTAGAAATAATTTCTAATGGTTCTTTCAAATTTATCGATTTTCTTTCTCTGATTTTTAATGACTTCTTAAATTTTTTTGCAGTCTTGATCTATCTTCTATTTTTCTTCTTCCCAAATCTATATCTTTATTTGGTGTTATGAATTAAGTATGTAAATATGATTTACTAATTAATTAGGTAAAGTATAATTTATAAGTATCCAAACTGAAAACATTTCTATTTTAAATAATTTCATGTAATATTAGTTATCTTATTTTTATATACTGGACTATATTTTAAAGCAAGGCCATATAGCATTTTTCTGACTTTTTGTTTCCAGAGAGACTGAGGCCCTTATGCCTATATTATTAATTATAATTGATACCTCTGTTAGAACTAATCTTGATCTTTACTTCCAAACCTATATTGCTTATCAAAATGGCACTTCCCCTAAAGAGACTGTAATTATGGTCAAGTAGTCATTTAATTCCTATTTGAAAAATTATGAAGAATTGTGAAGAGTAATAAAAAATTGTGTTTTAATAGTTACCAGAAAAGCCCTTTTGGGGAGTAATAATATTCATCAGTATTAGACTAAAAATTGTTTTAAATTTAACTTTGAAATGTTGATTAAATAAGATCTTAAATTTGTTTGTAGTGAATATTTTAAACCCTGAGTACATTACATATCTTTATGATTACATATAGACATCTAGGATTAAAGATGTGAATAAATGACTGAATGAATTCTTTTTAAAAGTGCTCTAATTTTTCCAGTTTGGGAAATAATTGTCTACCATGACAGATTTAAAAAAAATGGTTTTCACATTAGCCAAACCTAGTTTTATGTTACTACAGGATTACACAGAAGCTGAGAATAAATTTCTGGTGATGAAGATGGTGATCCAAGAAAATGAAATTTGTGAAAACTTTATGTGTTTAGTTTATTTTGGACGTGGCTTACTTCGATGTGCTCAGAAGAGGTAAGGATTTTAATTAATGGGTAGATCTTGTCAACTTTCAGCTTTGTGATGGGAATTAAGTGTGCATAGTATACCAAGGATCATGACATTTGTGCTCTGCTAGTTTGTTCTTTTTTTCTTTATCCATTTCTATAGATAATTTCTTTAATGTGTTTGAGAACATTGAGTATCAAACTTAACAGGCAGTGGCAATAGAGGCAGTCTAGTATTGACATTGAGAACATAGGCTTTGGAGTCTGACAGATCTGGATTCAGATACATTTTCTCCCACTTGCCCTAGGAAACTTAATGTTGTTAGGCCTTGTATTTTTTTCTTATCTCTAAAATGGAACTCAAAATAATGTTCACTGCATAAGGATGTTGGAGGTAATTAACACAGTACCCAGGACACAAAAATACTATACTTAATAAAGAAATGATGGTTGTAGTTATTAATATTATCATTACTGACTTGGAATAGTTTAAGATGTAAATGAGCTCATGAAGAGTTGAAAGGGTCCAAATGCTGAGTTCAGGGAGTTTTGAGTACTACGTAGTATTTTAAGAAAATGAAATTGTACAGAGGAACCTATATGGATTATGTGTCTACTTCCTATGTGGAGATGCTTTACCATTTGTAGCATCATTCATTCACTTCATTTATTGATCATCTGTCGTATTCCAGAGACTGTTAGGTGTTGGGGATACAAAACCTAACATGGTTTACAAAAAAGACAGTTTCTGTCTTCAGGTAACTGACAGTATAGTGAAGGTTAAATACTGTAATCAAATAATCAATCATGAAATAATTATGAAATATGATAAAGATTTATGAAGGAAAATGGAGTAAATAGTCAAAGACTTTTCTAGAGCTTCCATCTGGTTCTAGGAATCAGAAATCTCCCTGAAGAAATAGTGTTTGGTTGAGATCTGAAGGACAAATTGGGAAAATTTCACTTGGGCAAACTTAGGAAGGATTACTACTGGGCCAAACTGTTGGATCCTTAAAAGTATCACCTATGTGGTAGTTCCCTGATTGTTTGTATACTTTCCCTCCTATCTTCTGGCAAGACTGTTTTTAACTATGGTATCTAGAAGCCTTCTTACTTCCTTTTCACTAGGTCTGATTGGCAAGATGTCGTCAATATAGTGGGTTAGCATAATGCTTCGCAGAATTTCAAAATGATTGAAATCCCTTAGTCTATAGTTGTGACAAAGTAAGAGATTTAATATAGCCTGAGATAGGATAGAGAATATATCCTGCTGTCCTTCAGATATGAAAACTACTTTTTATTCTCTTTACTGATGGCTCTGTAGGAAATCAGTTTTCCCTAGAAAGCCCAGTTGTAATGGCAGCATCATTACTTTCATCCCTGGACATTGGAGGACAACCACCACTGAGCTTGTCAAAGACATTGGTCCCTTCTTAGTCTATATTTCTTACTGCATTAATGAATGGTGTGTCCTCTGAGCCTTTCTAGAAACATTGTCTAGTGATAGGTTCTGCTTTTTTATATAGTAAATCCACTCTTACATTCTCACCTTCTTGAGCCTTCTCACTCTTTTAATACTCTACCAAGAAAATTTCAGCATTTCTACCTCACTTATTACAGACCAGTGTATTTCTACCTGTTTTATCTCACAGCATACTTGAACCTTTTATAAAACTTTTGTGGCACACTTAAATTATGTTGATTAAAAAGAAGAGTAGAAAAAAGAATATGCTTACTGTGCTTTGAACTTCTTTTGAAAATAATTTAATTAATGATCTTATCTTAGGTCTGGCTTCAGATGTCTTTGCTAAGAAAGTAAATTTTTAATTACTAAAGAGTTGTCCCATGTCAATATACACTTCCTTGTCCAGCCTTGTATTAATATTTACTCTCATTTTCAGTACTCTTAAGGTCCACTTCCACTCATGTCCCTGCCTATATATGCTAGTCAGATTCTGCAGTTCTTATGGTGAATAAGCTTTTTTTTCCTGGACAGTGATTCTATTTGCCCACCTGAATTCTTAACACCTGATCCTAAATTTTTTGGTTTGAAGGCAGTGAGTGGAGAGGTAGCGGAGGATCTTGAGGTCGAAGGGCGTCATCTTTTGAGACATACATCTCAAGTAGTATTGTTGTATGATCTCTAAGTCAAGGGAGGCTGTTCTCCTATAGCAAGGAAGAAGTCTTTGACAGCTAAAGGGCTTAAGGGGAATTGAAGGATTCACCTAAATATTCCCATGTCTGATCTCAGAGCCTACTCATTCCCTATTAAAGCCCTGATTTTAGCATAGTAGTTCTGTTGAGGCTGTGCTTTTTGTCTCCCTTAACCCTTAGGATTAAACCATAGACTTCATTTTGAACACAATCTTCCCGTGTCCAGAGGAGGTAAGGGTTCCTTAAATGTTATCATTGAAGCCATTTAGCTTTCACAGTGTCCTGAGTTCATAGTATTAGTCTTATTGAGGCTTTGCATTCAATCTCATTTGCACTTTGTTCCACCTTATTATTAAATCTGGGACTTATTTTCAGTACAGATTGTTTTTATGGCTATAGGAGATGAGAGTCTCTTGATGTACTGCCATTAGAGGCCTTCTGGCTTTCACAGTGTGTCCTGAGTTAATAGTTGGCTGACCTATGCCTATCATTCTCTTTCTTTAAGGCCTCCAAGACAGTTAACAAAAGCCAACCAACTCTACAGTCCCTTTAATTACCATGGCCCCCATACTGTTCAAGCTTGAGCTACTACATAATCTATTGCCTCCCCTTCCACCTGTATTTCATCCCAATCTACCACAGGTGAGAGTCCTAGTATTTGTATTTCTATAGCATGCCAGAGGTTATCACCACCCTACTTACCACAAAAAAAAAAAAAAAAAAAAGAATTATTTGGTGTCTTGTTCTTGTTGGTAATCTATCCAGTTCCGTAGTCCCATTCAAACTAATTTTATTTTTAAATACTTTGCAGATATCATGGAGGACTGCTAGAATTTCATAAGAGCTTACAAGAAATTGGAGATATAAATGACCACTGGTTTGATGTAGATCCTACAGAAGATGAAGATTTACCTACAACTTTTAAAGTAAGAAATTATTTCAAAATGACATTTCATTTGTGACTAATCAGAATCATCTTTGATAAAGTATGAACCAACTAAGTCATACTCTATAGCAAGCATATTCTTTTATTGGCAATTAGCGTTTTTCTATAAGAAACAGCCTTGATTACATTACCGAGTGCATAATGTGAGTATGACTGAACAAGGGGAGAAAACTGAGGTGGCAGTGTCTGTATTTTCAAATACCAGGAACGTTAATAGCCATTTTAGTTCAATACTTCACGTGATTAGGGCCAAATGTAATAGTTAACTTCTTTTTTTTCTATTTATCATTATTTTGTTCTTAATTTAAATTACAAAGTACTAAATGCTTACTTAGTTTATAAAGCTTGGAAAATGTAAAAATGCCCAAAGAGAAAGGAATTTCGTTGGTATTTCTTCAAATGGAGAAGCCATTGTCAGCATTTCATTTATGTAGTTCTAGACGCACACACAAATATAAACACTCATTCGCTTTATTTTTATGTCTACCAAATTGGTATGATATTATACACATTTATTTGTAATCTGGAAATACTAGCATTTTTAATTTCTCAGTGATCAGATTATTATATAATATTCACGTAGTCTGTCATATATACATACGTAACTGTGCTGTAATTTGCTTAACCAATTTCCTGTTATTGAACATTTAGTTTATTCTAAATATGCTAGTTTTTCACTTTTTATAAAGTGATATTTACATATTTACATAAATTTCTAAAGGTGGAACTGTGAAGCAAGCATTCATACCCTTATAAAATTGTTACATATCTCCATATTTCCTCTCAGAAAGTTTGTACCAATATAAATTCAGACAGTATAGAAATGTCCATTTCCTCGTACATTCTGGGTATTCTTTACCTTTTGGGTAATTTTTACTCATTTGATAAGCCATAGGGGTCTTTTTTAAATTTGTTTAATATGAAAATTACAACAGTAGATTTCTCTTGGTTAATGTTTGAGTGATGTGTCTTTTCGCAAACTTTTGCTTTAAATCTTTATCCTTACATTTTAGTTCGCTTTATGGCTAAAAGTATTTCTTAAAATAAAGAGAGACATTTTATGAAAATATAAAATTCAATTCTCCAGGAAATTATAACAACACAAAATTTGTATAGACCTTGTTATATAGTCTCAAAAAATATGGGGCAAAAACTGATGTAACTGAAAGGAAAAATGAAAAACTCCCCAATAGCAATAGGATACTTTAATGAAGTATTGAATATGACAGCTTTTGGCATTATTAATATAATCATGGGACTTTTAACTTTGACTTGCTAAAGTAATTTATACATTTTGAAAAGATTAAAGTTTCAGTGACTACCTAACATAATCCCTATTGGATGTTAGTTATTTTATTCTTTTTCCTCCTCCTTTCAAAATATTTTTGCTGCATCTCCAAACTTCTTCAGTGAATTTTTAAAATACTTTTTAATCATCCAACTATTTTTAGTACATTTTAATTTTATATAAAGTGACACGTAATTTTGTCAAATAATATTAAAAGATTTAACAAGAGTTCTTGCTCCATCATCTCTAATTGCAGATCTGCTTCCTAGGGGCAACTTCTTCCAGCTTTCAAAGCATTTTTCTTCATTGTTTCCCTGTTTTTCGAAACATCTGTACTGCTGTTTAAGAACTTTATTTTAGATGCTATCTTTTGACTTTTCACTATAAGAGATGAGGGTTTAGCTGTCTTACACATCTCCTTTCTCTCTCTCTTCCTATACACACACCCACACCTTACCTTTCTTCATCCTACAAGTAGTTAGAAGTTAGAAGTTTTTGTTAAATTGACTGCAGGGTTTCTCTTCCCTCTCATCCTGGCAACTTTTTCACCTTTCTTCCATATAGAGTCAGTCCTTTGTTTGCAGAATGCAAGTTTTTCTTTTTCTAGGTTTGCTCCCTTATTTTGGAGGTGCAACTCTTCCATCATTGTTCCATAAAGGAGTGCTTGCTTGAGAAGAAATGTTTTGAGACCTTTCAAGTCTCAAGATAATTTGTCCTTTGTGTACTTTTTTCAATCTGGGCTTAGAACTGTATATTGCAAATAAATTTTCTTTAATTTTTTACAAGTATTTTTCTGTGATTTTCTAGCTTTTAATATTACTTAAAAATCTAAAGTCATTCTGATTTTTAACCTTTTGTATTATGACCTGTTTCATTTTTTTTCTGAGAGTCTTTAAGGATAGACTTTGTGTCCTCAGTTTTCTAAATTTGTGATTTTTGTTCTGGGATATTTTCTTATTTTATATAGTTGATGATTTATTCTTAATTTTTTTTTTCTGGAATACTCATTGTTCAGATGTTTTGCTACACTAAGTCTCTAATTATCTTATTTCTTTCATATTTTTTATTTTTTGTCTTTTTGTTCTATTGTCTAGGAAATTTTCTCAATTTATCTTTCTGTATAGGGCATCTCTAATTGTAAAATGATATTCATGAAATAATTTGTAGAGGGTTATTTATTGTGTCACATGCCCTCAGTATATTAGCAGTAAGATTATCTGAAGGATAAGTATTAAGGACTTTGTCTCATTTTTAACTTAGATCTGGTAATGTATTCCACTTACATTCAATCTGCATTTTAAAATGAGAAATTGTATTTTGATTTGTAACTCTGAACATTGGAAACACATTTCTGAACTGTACTTTTGCCCATTACAGCAATAAATGGCATATTGTACCACTACAGTAGTTTTACTGCCAACATGGCGTCCAGGGGCTAGTCCCACCAAGGACACCCCTGAACTTGAGTGATCTGTTGTCCCTCTATATGTATATACGGGGGTCACTAAGAAAGTTTTGAAACAAAATGTCTTATGGTTCATGATTTCACTTCTAAGAAACATAGTCGACAGCATCCTTTCTGATTCACCTGTGCAAGTCTCATCTTGCTCAGCTTATTGGTGTTGCTGGGAGGGCTTCCTTTGTTTCCATCTGTAGACATTATGCATTTCTTGATTTTTGTGTAACTCAAAACTTTCATAATAACGCATGTATCAAAGCAATAATTCTTGATAGAAACACACAAGGTATTGTGCTATGGGTTAGAATGACAAAGAGAAGCATGGCCTCAAATTTAAACTTCTCTCCTTTCCCCATGTTTATGTCATTCAGTATGAAATTCTGTATTTCTCATTTAGGGCCTTCCTATTGTTTACTTCAAATGAGGGGAATATGTTCTGTTACTATTTTTTTTTAAATGATATGTGTGTGTGGTTATATATGACATAAGTCCTTCAATAAGGGATAAGATGTAGACATATTAAGGTAAAATATTGGAATTATTGTCACAATTTATTACTAAATCATAAGAATTCTTTTTATTTTTTAAAACCTAGGACCTTCTTGATAATTTTATCAAGACAACAGAAAGTAATATAATGAAGCAGACCATTTGTAGTTACCTAGATTGTGAACGATCTTGTGAAGCTGACATTTTAAAGAACACCAATTATAAGGTATTATGTCAATTAACTTGTATTTTTAAACATGTAATTATACAATTAAACTTAGATGAAAATTTTTATATTATTATGCATCAAAATATTATTTTTAAAAGTATTTAGACTAATTACAATGGTAAAGCAATTGAGAAGTTGAGAACTTAGATTTACAGTAAGCAGGAGCTACTTACATTCTGTGAGTCAATAAAAGAATTAATTGGTTTTGCTAAGAGTTTTGTAATATTCACATACTTATGAAGTTATAACTGTTATCCCTAAAATCAATTATACAATGAAAATGATCTAAAAAATGCTTTACTTTATAATTAGAAATGTTAGAGGTTGAAAATTCCTAGGAGAAAGGTTAGCAGTCCTCAGGAATTATGTTGCTAAATAAGTAATCGTTAGCTTCTCTATGGGCCTGGGCAGGAAGAAAATGTAGCCAACCTTTACTTGAGAAAATTCAGCAATCAGAATACTGTTGATAGATCTCTTTGGATCTGTCAGAATAATACTTGAAATCATAAGATGGGATGAGAATATATGACTATCAGTGCAAATCTTTTCTAAGACATTTTTGTAAGATGACTAAAATCTCAGTTGTAAGGCATGATGTATACATAGCAAATGGGGTAGATGGGGAGAAGGGAAGACCAAGACCTATCCATTCAGATAAGACAAGGATTGGGAAATGAGCTTGGTGAGATGCAGTGCTCAGGGCCAGCTACATTCAGCATTGGTTTAGGTGACATAGTGATATGGATATGGTCCTAAGGTTTATCTGAAAGTCTTCAGGGTTCCAATCAAATGAATAGCATGTAGCAGCAGAAAGTACTGGGCATGCAATTTAGATTTTTGTCATCAAAACAAAGTTTAAAGTGAGCAGGGATGTAGTTTCCACGGAGGCCACAATAGGAAGGACAGGAAATCTATACCTCCAGTAGCTCAGGAGCTATCTGTCCCAAGGCAGCAAGTCTGAGTGCTATTGATTGGTAACAGAGGAGAGTCAGCAAATAATGGTGCAGAGTTGGGACTGTAAGAAAAGAGAAATGTAAAAGGGGAAATAAAGAGAAGTGGACAGCGTCTTCCTCAGCAAAGGTCATTCACTGGGTTTCTGGTATTTTGTTGTACATAGTGTTTGGAAAATACTACATTCATTTGTTTGAATTATTGCCCCTTTTTTACTGTCCTAATTTTTCTATCTTTAATGATATAAAAATGACCTGTAAAATTCTTCAATGATCTCTGATCACTGTTAAATTTTGAGTGTTGTGTAAAATTCATCTAGTTATAGAATACTTTCAAAAGTGTTATTTTCCATAACTGCATGAATAACTGTTTTCATATCAACAGCTACTTTTATTTTTTTCCCAGGGATTTTTTCAGTTAATGTGCAGTAAAAGTTGCTGTGTTTATTTCCATAAAATTTGCTGGAAAAAGTTCAAGAATTTAAAATATCCAGGTGAAAGTGATCAGGTATAATATTCCTTCTTAAAACTTTACTGCAGCATTTCTTCTCTACCCTTTCCTCTTTTTTTTTGGTCCTCTTCCTCTTTATTTCTTCCTGTTCACCTTCTCTTTACTTCCTGCTTTGTTTTTTCCTTTTTTTTTTTACTTTCTCCTTTCTTCTTCCCCAGGTCTCTCTGATGCTTATCTCTTTACCAGTCTTCATTTATTACCATCATTTATTAAGCAGCTCATTGTAGGGGCTCCTCTACTAGTTGCTTTGCTTAGTTATTTCTTTTAATTTGTTTTCTTCCCTTTAAAAGTTTACACTTTTAAGAACAGAACCATTGTTGCATATATATATGCACATAAAGGACGTAGAATCAAAGAATGGAATTGTTTAATAAACGTGCAAAAAGGATAATTACACAATTTTAAGGATAAAGAACAAGAATTGATTTTATAGTCTTTAAAAATATACTTGCAACTATTTATAGTTCTATTTATATTTAGTTACATTAGGCATGTAATAAATTGAGTCCTTTGCCACCTAAGAGTGGAGTCCAAAGCCCAATTCTGTATTAATTAATCTTTAGTAAGCTAATGGCCATACATTAGGTTTACTACGTTTGATCCTGTAGTGTTTACATTGTACAAATAGTAGAAAACCTTCATGAAGCACTTGTGGTATACTAGAAAGAACATTGGATGTAGTGTTGGGAGATTTCTGGCTTCAAGTCCAGATTGAGCCAGTTACTAGTTTTATTACATCGGGCTCCTAATGTAACTGCTCTGAGACTAATTTTTATAAACTCTAGGATGAGGATAGGATAAACGCACTTGATTGGGTTGTTAAGAAAGTTAATAAATAAAATAGGAAAAAATAACAGGTGAACTTGTAAACAGTGAAAACAAGTATATAAAGCATTATTATTCATTTTTGAGTGGTATAATTTCCTTGATTGTTTGGGCAATTAATATTGCTCAATTTTAGAAACAGAAGAAAAAGAAAATGAAGTAACTTAACCAGAGGTAATGATAAGTCCTAAAGTACAGAAAGGACTTGGTATTTTATTCTTTCCTTTCTTCTGGAATCCCCACATGTATGATAGAATCTTTCAGTAATCTTCTTTATGTTCACTAAATTAATACATTTTGCTTGAAGATGCTTTCCGTGGGGCAGCAAGTACATTTTAGGTTTTAACAAAGTACCCATTGATCTATGAAATGGACTACCTTTTAACAACTAACTCTCCAACGTTTATTCACATCTTTCCTTTTTTTATCTAGCAACATTTGCTTCTAACTTTATAAATATAATTGGATTTGCACATCAGTGATTTTTTTTTCTATTTTTATTATTTTTTCTGTTAATAACTTTAGAGTTTTAGTGGAAAAAAATGTTTGAAGGAAGGATGTACAGGTGACATGGTAAGGATGCTGCAGTGTGATGTACCTGGAATTGTTAAAATTTTGGTAAGTGTCTTTTTTCATTTTTCTTGCTTTCCTTCATTAGAATAACATTTTTACTTGAAACAGATTTGAGAATCATGATAATAGGATTCTAGCCATATTCTTTTTAATGGCCTTTAAGCTCTCTGGATTTCACATTGCTATGATTTATCTAATATAGTATTTAAAGTTATCCTTAAAAACAAGAAAATTTTAAAGATAAACCTAGAGAGACACTAAAAGCGAGAAACAAAGACAAAACATGCCATGAGTGTACCAATTAGAGAAGTATCATGAACCAAGGACCATTATTTACTTAATTCTGTGTCACCCAATGTGAAAGATGATTTGTGACTTTTGGAACCTCTTTAAGTCTATAAATATTGTCTTATGAAAATAGCTATAGAATATAATGTATAGTATCTATTACATAAAATGCACTCTGAGTTTTTCCATTTTGGTTTTTGATAAATGAAATACCTTGTTGAATCTTCACTTTATAATAGGCCAAATTCTATATAGAAATGTCTTGTTTATTTCTTTATCTTTAGATATGCTACTTTTGTATTTCAGATTTGGCACTAAAATCCTATAGTGATGTAAAGTAGAGCTGCTTTTTAAGGTCAACTCTAATTTCTTATTTGATCAGGATTGTTTGTTATTCATGTTAGTACTTCTACTTTGTTTTTTATTTGCTATGCTTCATTCATATTGTCTTTTTCAAATGTTAAGACTAAGAAGTAACATTAAAGAATTCTGAAAACTGAACAACTTTAAGATTTTCCTTTTCTATTACTTGGCAGTTTGAAGTTGTGAGAAAGGATGAATATATAACCATTGAAAATTTAGGAGCAAGGTAAGTCTGCAGTAAATTGTTCTGTTACTTTTCTCTGGTTATATATATATATTTTTAGGTGCTTCTCTCTTCTGTGTTTCTGTTACTTGTTAGTGCTCCATTAAATTTTAAGGTATTATTAGATTTGTCAGAAAAATTGTATTTTATGCCCTTTGCTTCCTCCTCTATCCCCACTTGTTGTCGACATTTATGTTTTGAAGCAGGGAGGGAGAAATCATATGGATACTTTTCCCTTAAGTGAAAATAATCCTCTAAAAATAAGTCTGTTTTCCTCAGTTATTTAAGTTAGGTTGTTAAGAAATAAAAACTTTCTGCTATCTTTCAAAACTCATCCTAAGCTTGTCTCGTAGAATCTTCTTGCTTCCTAGATGAGAAAAACTGCATATAGAGTAATTATATTACATCATATTGTGAGCTGAGAGCTAATAGAAATGTAGAGTGTTACTGTTGAAATTAGAGGTTTCAGAATAAAAATTTCTCCTAATTGATTGACTCTCTTTTTTTCCTGTTTGAAATGTAAATATTTACCATTTTTTAATCTACCAGGGATATTGCATGGATATCCAAGGCATCAGTTTTCCCTTATGAATTCATGAAACCCAAATCTTCATCTTTAGCACAGATCTCTTGCCTAAAATCTTGACTTTATGTACCTACCTGCATGTTGAATATTTTCATTTTTACTCTTCACAAATATCTGCAATTAAGCATACCACAAACTGGACTCATGTTCTTCCCAACACTGCTCTGTAACTTTTTAAGTCCTGTCAATTCATTTCTTAAATCCTTGAATATCATAAATTTCTTATTCCTGTACTACCTACCTGACTTAATTAAACTAAATGAGATAATTATTATTTCTCATACAGCTTCTTCAGGCTTGCCTGTCTCTTTTCTATTGTGTGCATAGCCATCAATAGGACTTTTCTCAAATAAAAATAGAAATAACTTACTTCTGCGCTTGATGATCTTTCAGAGGCTTCTCATTGCTTGCAAAATTAAGTTCAGACTCTTTAGCTTGACTCTTCATTTGCCTTAGACCCTGCTGAACTCACTAGTGTTACCTCTTATCATTTTACTGTTAACCGTATATACACTAACTATACTCAGCTTCTTTTAGTTTCTTCAGTGTGCAGGTTTTTACATGGAGGTAAAACTGTATTACTGTTTTACCTCCAGGCACCTGGAATACTCTGCTCCTTTGGCTTTGCCTAGTTAAAACTTTTGGAAGGCCCTACAGTAGAGTGGGTGTTTCTATCATGTATTCCTTCTACTTCTGTCAAAACATCTACTAACTATTCTAATACTTTCTTGGCTGTATACCAGAACCTCTATAAGGTGGTCACCTAAGGAGTTGTAACAAACAGGTCAACATATGCAGGTGATCAACGTAAGAAATTAGGCTTACTATACTGATAGGTACATGTACTACTACTCCTTGTACAGATGTCATTAGAGAATATTATATAAAATCATATATAATCAAAACATAGTAAAATCATACAGTATCATATAAAATCTACATTTATTGTTTTCTTGTGGTTTAAGAGTCAGTCTTGGTCTGTTTCTTATTACAAACATAAGTGGAGAAAACACTCAACGCTAACTACACTACTCAGCATACCTGGGCATTTTTCCATAGCAGATGACTTCGGCTGTATTATCAGATCCCTGACATCCTCTTCTTTTGGAGTGTCTTAAATTACTATGTCATCCTCACTTGCTTCTTTCTCTTCATCAGCTGCTTCATACTGTACTTGTATTCTGGTCTGTACTTCATTCATTTATCACTTAGAAAATTGTTTCTGGGTCAGGTTTATCACAAGTTGATATCTTATCATTCATTGCAATAAAACCTTCAAAATCTACTCCTTCAAAGTCTGCCATGGGAGATGGACTGTCTGATGGGGCCAAAACATCATACTCTAAGGTTCTGACAAATCTAACTTTCCTGAAACAATTCTGTGTCATACCTGGCTGAACTTTATGCCAAGTAGAACTGATGCTGAGAAGGCAGCATCTAGAGTGTTAGCTAATAGGGCAGATGAAGTTGCTTTCACAGGCAGACTACCCAGGTTTGTGTTTTAGTAATGACCCAGTGTAGGAGCTGGATTTAGTAGTGCTTTTTAAATGTTTTAGTTGATGCCTTGGTGAAGAAGTTGGAATTTTGAGGTTGTGTTTGGAGGCAGAAATTGCAGTGTTCAGTTTGTCGAGATGATTCACTTGCAGGTGACAGGCACAGTTGTCTACTGTGAGTAGAATAGACCATTTCTTTTTCTTCATTCCTTGGTGGATACCCTTTACCCAGTCCTAAAATGAGGGACTAGTTATCCATTTGCATCTGTTCAATTTCCAAGTGGCAGGTCTTGGGTCTTCAGATTCTTGAATACAAGTGGCTTTGCTGATTTACCAATCACCAAGGCATTTAGTTTCTCTCTAGTTGAGCTAGCACAAAGCAGAACTGTGAATCGTTCTTTGGAAAGTTTTCCACTCTTATATTTTCACCTTTCATGAGGCTCCTGTCAGGCATTGCCTTGACAAAGAGTTTGCACTTATCAGCGTTCAAGATGGTATCATCTTCGAAGCCTCTGGCAAAGGCTGGGAACTTTTTGATGAACTCTTCACAACTTCTCCTAGAACTTCACTGGATTCACCACATAAGACTTTCTGGGAGATCTTGTGTCATAGTCTAAATTCCTTAAGGTAACCACTTGCTGCTGGAAATCTGCCACCCTGAATTCCTGTGCAAATTTTTCAGCAGCTTTTCTTGGATCATCAGCCCAGAGATGTAGGCATTAACTGCCCTCATTTTTTTTTGCAGTTTTTGGCTGGGGCTGGGTTTGAACCCGCCACCTCCAGCATATGGGGCCAGCGCCCTACTCTTTGAGCCACAGGCACCGCCCAACTGCCCTCATTTGTTTGAACCAGCTTAAGATGGCTTCATGAACTTTATCAGGGGAAATTTTCCTCCTTTTCCACTGTGGGTCTCTGCTTTTCTTCCAAGTACTCAGGTTTACATTTTTTGATGTCGCTAACTGTGGTCTTGCTAACATCAAAATGTTCTGCCATCTTTCTTTGGCCACGGCTTTGCATAAAATGTAGAAAATCAACCTTTTCCTTCAGTGTCACTCTTTGAGTTCTTTCTTTGGGCCTTAGTGTCTCAATTAACTGTAACTTTTTCAGTAATTGTAGGATATACCTATAATTCAAACTAGTCTTTAACATTGAAAAAAGTCTTCCACAATACTTGATAAATAGTAGGACTTTAGGCCTAGTCCAACGTGTGATAATAATAAAATATGAAAAAAGAACTTATACTAAAGAAAAAATAATAGAACTAAGGGTCAAAGGCCATACTTTCTATCTCTTGGTATAGCACGGACCCAACTGGTCAAGTTATAAAGGGTAAATTAATATTGTGATTTCATTCCAAGTGGTCAAGATACAACTTAACAGAGGTGGTCAATATATATAGAAGTCAGTCTTCCATTTAGTACATGTCTGGTCTATGAAAATTAGGTCAACTTTAGAAGGTGGACAGTGTAGGGAGTGGTCACCTTTGGAGTTCTTCTATACCTCCATTTGACTATACCCGTTATGAGGGCCAGAATTTTGTCTTACTTTCTCTTATGTTCTCAGCACATAGCATAATGCCTGGCATGTAGATGGTACTTATTAAATAGATCATAGATGTAGAGATTCTGAATCCTATTATTCCTCTATTGGTAGTATTACTTTTATTCTGACAGGACATTAACTTGGCAGGATGTGAATTTGTACTCTTTTTCAGGTTGTGGTTCCAGTCTTAGTACACGTCTTTCTTAGTTCAGATCTTTTGCCTTTACCTGAGCTGCTTTTAGTTTGTTCTACATGTGTGTAGTTTAGTGGTCAGTCAGACATGTGGCTAGAAAGAATCTGGGGATCTCTTCTGACTCTTTCACTTCTGAAACTTGCTCATTGTCTTTGGTGGCCATGGTTCCTCTTCTGTTTTCTGATTCTTTCAGCCAAAGACCTGGCCTCATTAATGATGTCACATTTTTCATTCCTAAGGTTGTTAATTTTGTATCTTTTTTCTTTTTCTATTGACCATTCTGGCTATAGGTTTATTGGTTTTATTGATCTTTTCAAATAATCACTTTTGATTTTATTGACTTTTCTCTAATAATTTTCTATTTTTAATTTTATTGATTTCTGCTCCTTGTAATTTCCTTGCTTCTACTTGCTTTGGATTGCTTTTCTGATTTTCTTGAAGTAAAAGTTTTGATGATTGATTTGAGACCTTTGTTCTTTACAGACTGTTACCACATTAAGCAGTGTTATAGCTGTGTTCCATACATTTTGATATGTAGCGTTTTTTTATTATTACTATTTTTATTCTATTCAAAATGTTTTCTAGGCGTGTGTGCGCATGTGTTTTTACCATGGACTATTTAGGAGTTTGTTGTTTAATTGCCGAACGTTTGTGGATATTTCAGCTTATCTTTCTAGACACTGATAATAAACTGATTAAAATAATAAAAAATAATAAACTGATTCTTAGTTTAATTCCCTTGTGGTCACAGAATATGTCTTCTAGCATTATAGTCTTTTAAGATACATGGAGATTTATTTTATGACCTATAACATTGTATATCTTGATGAATGTTCTATTTATATGTAAAACAAATCTGTTTCTGCTCTTGTTGAGTGGAGTACATACATTTGATGAAGTTAGTTTATAGTTTTGTGTCACTTTTCTATATGATTATCACTTAGAATTATTGATTATTTACTTTTTCTATCAATTCCTGAAAGTCAAAGTTAAAGTTTGTTATTCATATTTTATCTTTGTCTGTTGTCTATTTGTGTATTTTGAAACTCTTTTATGAAAAGATACATAGACATTTAGGATTATTATCTTTTTTTCTTAATGATTTGACACCTTATCCTTATATAACATCCTGTTTGATCATGGATCATGGATCTTTTGTCTGATACACATGCTCCAGCTTTCTTTTGGTTAGTGTTTTCATGGCACATCCTTTTGCATCCATTTCAGCCTACCTATGTCTTTGAATTTAAGGAGAGATTTTTAAAGTTGGCATAGGTCTTACTATTTTTGTATACAATCTGACAATCTCTGCCTTTAAATTGGAGTTTTTAATTCCATATAAGTTTGCTATAATTATTTATGTGGTTGAGTTTAAATCTACTGTTTTCCTGTTTTATCAATTTTCCCTGTGCTCTGGTTTTTATTATCTGGTTTGGTTTATTAGTTTTACCTTTTTCCCTAGTGGTTACTTGAGGAGTTACTGTACACATTTTTAACTCATCCAGTTTTGAATAATAATATACCACAGCATGTGTATAGGTGTAAGAACTTTGTGATGACATATTTCTGTTTCTTTTTTCTTTTGTGCTATTATTTTCATGTGTTTTACTTGTACATATTTTATAAATTCCATGATATATCATTACTTAAAAGTGTAGTGTTTTTTGTTTTGAGCTTCATATAAATGGAAACATTTATTTTTATGCATTTTTAAACTATGCAGCATATTTGTATGATTCATTCTTAACTATTATAGTCGTATTTCATTCATTTTATTGCTTTTGCTTTTTACCATTTTGCTACACTCTTTTGATCATTCTACCATTGATATTTATTTCCAATTTCAGACTTATCACAATATTGTAAGAGACATTCTTACACATTTCCAGGTGTATGTGTACAGAAAAGTTTCTAGAATATATATGCCTAGGAGTGGAATTGCTAGGCCATCTATGCATATCTTCAACTTTATTATATTTTGCTCAACTCTTTTCCACAGTGGTTTTACTAATTTATACTCTCTACCAGCAGTATAGGAGGTTTCCTTTTATTCAGTATTTTTGCCAGTCCTTCATATTGTTAGAGTTTTAAATTTTTCCAATGTAGTGCCTAGTTGACAGTATTGTAGTGGTATTAGATTTAAAAATCAGTTAATAACCACCACCAAACTAAAGTAACCATCACCAAAATCTTTGTCTTCCTTAAACTTACATTCTAGTGTTGTTGCCCAATATTTGTATTGTGTTACGGAATTCTTATTACAAATTTTTTTTTCCTATGACAAGGTTCATTTCAAAGCCAAGCCACACGTTTTTTCATCTGTTCAATGGCAACATTTACCCAGTGCTTAATATCTTTAATAAATTTTGCCATTTCTTCCTTCTGGTTATTCTAATTATTTTTATTGATATATACCAGTTTATTTTTTTTAGTTACTAGATATTTAATGATTTGATTTTTCTTGGAATAAATATTAACAACAACAAAAAAAAAATTTTGTAAATGAGATGGCCAAGAAGGAGTTTCAGGTTTGCTGTCTTTTTCTTTTCTTTTTAATATAATACAAAGCTTTCTTTTTTTTTTTCCCTGCTACTACACAGCCTTCTTGCCAGTGAGCTTTTCATGTGATTCTTTTGTATCAAATCTAGCAATAACTACTTTACTGTTAAAACCAATGAAAATGACAATGTTGGATTCTTGTTGTTGATGGTTTTTGTTTGTTCATTTATTTTTCTCCTTTTTGAATTATTTCTAGGAGTAGAAGATGAAAATAATCACTTAGTCGTGCTTATACCAGAAATCTTGCCTGCCTTTGGTATTATTTGATAATTATCTAACTTAATTTTTTTCCACTTGTAGTTATAAAAAGTTGATGTCTCTGAAAATAACTGATACTGATATAAGACCGAAGATCAGTTTAAAATTTAATACAAAAGGTATTATTTTATTTTTATATGCCTCCTATTAAAAAGTATGTAAAAATTTTTCATTTCATCTATAAATTATCATGCCATGAACAATTCACTGGGCTTATGTTTATACCATCAAGCAATAGTTGGAATAGGCAAGCACTCAGAAACGATAGAGGTGTATTAATCTCATATTACCTTGGCATGCTAGGTCTGGTGCATAGCCCTGACCTGAATAGTGAGATTGTGCTCCGACAGAGGTTTCCTCAACTCCTCTTCCCTCACATTCCATCTTAATAGAGCAACCATGAGAGTAGCTTTACATGGAAGGAATAAACATTTTGGGCTTAGGGCCAAGTAGTCTAAACTTAGTACCTGCTGTTTAGGAGTGTGCTAGAAAGTGTACCACCCAGTACTTACAGACCTTATGGTTCCCTGGGCCTATGGAAGAATAGTTTGGTAGCAGCCCTTTTTGCATGAGGCAATTAATGCCAGCTTGTTTCACGTTTGACAACACAGACAAAGCTCCCTGAGTCATTCCTTTTTAACTTCATTTGCCTCCACAATGTATGTCAAGTATTCCACGCAGAAATATTAATTTAAAAAATCTCTTGAAACATAGAATCATAAAGGATAAAATAATAAAGCTACATTTTATGACAAATATTTTGATGTTCATACAAAAACCAAATACCATCCTATTTTAGATTATTGCTCCTTTCTAATTCACCTCAGTCTTCTTTGTTTATTTGGAAGGATTACCAAACCAGAAAAATACCAAATAATTCAGTCTCATGTCTTATGCCATTTCATTGATGAAATGCATACTTAATCATTTATTTATTTGTTGAAGGGGTAAGAACTTGAGGCTTATTAGATTACTGCTTTTCAAACATTATTTGCATTTGAAATGTTTGGTGATATTGTTAAAATTCAAGTGCCTGGCTGTGCCTGTGGCTCAGTGAGTAGGGCGCCAGCTCCATATACTAAGGGTAGCGGGTTTGAAGGTGGCCTGGCCAAATTGCAACAAAAAAATAGCTGGAAATTATGGCGGGTGCCTATAATCCCAGCTACTCAGGAGGCTGAGGCAAGAGAATCGCCTAAGCCCAAGAGCTGGAGGTTGCTGTGAGCTGTAACGCCACTGTACTCTACCAAGGGCGACAAAGTGAGACTCTGTCTCTCAAAAAAAAATAATAATAATAATAAATAATAAAATAAAATGCAAGTGCCAATTCAGTAGGTCTGGAATGGGGCCTGGGATTCTGTGTTTTAATAGACTTTCAGGTGGGTGTTTGATGCTGCTGGTTTGTGGACTACACAGACCTGAGTAGCAAGAGGTGAGATCCCTTTGTTTCTTGTTATAGATCTGAGGTAATATAGTAGCTACTAGGTATATATGTAGTCCCTGGGTTACAAACGAGACAGGTTCTAAAGGTTTGTTCTTAAGTTGAATTTGTATGTAAGTTACAAAGGTAACTTACCTCTTACCTGTAATGGCCTCTGTTCATAAGTTCAAGTCATATGCAAATCAAATATTTATAACTTAGTAACTGCCTGCATGTGTCTATTTAAATTTAAATTAATTAAAGTTAAATAAAATTTAAAGCTCAGTTCCTTAGCCATACAAGCAACATTTCCAGTGGTCAGTGAATAGTGGATAGAGCAGCTATAAAATATTTTTATCAGAAAATGTTCTCTTAGACAATACTGATTAGGATAATGTATAATTATTTAAGTAAAGTATATTAAACATTGGCAGTTACTATTCTTAGCAAATTTCAGAATTTTCAAAGACCTAATACTGTGACACCATTTGGTTACCAAAGCTCGTTTACTTGAATAAAACCATGGATGGCTAAAATGCTTTTGTGGTGATTAGTATTTGTGATTACTTTTGCTTGAGAATGTACTGTTTTGGTCTGTATTTTTTGACAATTTTACAGAAAGCTGCATGCTTGTAGAGCACTGGCTGTGGCAGAGCTCTAAACTGTACTTTATTCATTTGGAATAATTCCCCTATAGGAACTTAGGGTGTAATATAAGAGACTACATGGAAAAAGAGCATTAATGTGGAATATCTTGACTTCTCAAAATTCCTTTCAGATGAAATGCCTATCTTCAAACTTGATTATAATTATTTCTATCATCTGCTTCATATAATTATTATTTCTGGTACTGACATTGTCCGGCAAATATTTGATGAGGCTATGCCACCCCTTCTTTTGAAAAAAGAGCTGCTTATACACAAGAATGTGCTGGAATCCTACTACAACCATCTTTGGACCAATCATCCTTTGGGTGGATCATGGCATCTGCTTTATCCCCCAAATAAGGAGCTACCACAGTCCAAACAGTTTGACTTATGTCTCCTGTTAGCTCTCATAAAACATTTGAATGTGTTCCCTGCACCCAAGAAAGGCTGGAATATGGAACCACCGTCTTCTGATCTCTCTAAGTCTGCAGACATCCTGAGGCTGTGCAAATACAGGGATATTCTCCTTAGTGAGATTTTGATGAATGGTCTCACCGAGTCACAATTCAAGTCAATTTGGCAAAAAGTTTCAGATATTCTTCTGCGCCTTGGGATGAAGCAAGAGGATATTGACAAAGTGAAGGAGAATCCCATTGAGAATATCTCCCTTGATTACCATCAGCTATCCATCTACTTAGGCATACCAGTACCAGAAATCATACAGAGGATGTTATCCTGCTATCAACAAGGTACTGAATAATTATTTACTTCGGCCAATAAATCTTCACTGACTGCTCTGCTCCAGGTGCAGTGCCAAGGACACTAGATTCAGGGAGCATACCTATTTAGCAGAAATAGCTTCATCAAGAAGGTAGCAGACAGAAAAAAAAAAGAAGGTAACAGAAATTATACTACCAGAGATGTTTCCAGAATACTAGAGGGAATTCCTAGTTTAAGGGGGTCTAAAAAAGTTTACTGAGGAATAGAATAAAGATTCTTAAATAATATATAGAAGTTAGCCAAGTAAAGAAGATGGGGAAGATTGTTTCAGAGGAAAACAAGCGTTAAGATATAAAACTTAAATATTATACTAAAAAAATTGGCACTTCTGCGATTAAGAGAGTTAAAGTTTGAGTGTCCTTTGAGAGGATACTCAAAAGGTTTTTTTTCCTTTAAAAAACATAAAGAGTTTTCATTTTCAGAAGAAAATCATTGAAGATTTTTAATTAGAAGAGTTCTATCACTTCAAAATTAGGGATGCCTAAAACCTTGAAATATAGGTAGTATGTGGTGTCAGGGATGCCCTTTTAGAGGCAGAGGATATCCTTTTGCTCTTTTCTAGCGGAATCTTGATGTTTTGTTCAAAATTTTAGCAGCTATCTGATGACTGTGGATGATTCAAAAAATCAGATAACATTGTGTATCCACATTGAGCAGTGGCCATTCCCGATCTGTTGATATGAGGAAGACTTCAGACCTTCTCTCTTATATCCCAGGATCACTTCTTAGCTCTTTTCTAGAACATAAGAATTCAAGGCATGTCAACATCACTGAAATCTTTGCTATGTTGTTCAGGGTGACTTTTCCTGGTTCCAAATTATTAACAGCCTATAGAGCAACTGATGACCACTGATGCTGTTTAAATGTACCACTTCCCAGGTTTCTAATAATTGTTGAAAACAGTCCAGATATCCCCCCCCCCCAGAGGTAACTGCTATGACCCAATCTCAGTTCTCTAAAACAAAAAATCATGTGAAATAAGGTAATATTTGAGAAAGAGCCTTGAGTACTGATTTAATTCAAGGCATTAAATTAGTAAGCAGTTCTTATTCAGGTATCCTAAAAAACTTACTGGTCAAGTCCCTTTAATTAGAGGCATCTTACATCTCTTTCTTCAACCAATACTGTTGCAGTTTTTATTTGTGTGTCTGATGTTTTATTAACATCCCACTAAATTTTCATGAGGCTTGTCTTTTTTTTTTTTTTTTTTTTTTAACCATTCACTCTCTGCAGGCTAACGCAGTCTGATGTACATTGTAGGTTTCAGTATATATTAGTGAACAAAGAAGAAGTGATATTCTGGGTAATTAAGATGAAAAAGTGGCTCAAATTTTCAATGGAGATTTCTTTTATAACTGATTATTATTTCATGGCCTTGGACTGTAAAAAGTAAGAATTTGCTCTGTGGCTTAAACTGCTTATGTTCTAGGATTTATCTGTTACGAACTATCAAGTTATTGTTTACATCTTCCTCTAGTCATAGGTTTGTAATATTTATGTATTAGTCTTAAGATTGTGCCTTGTTAAACTGTTGGTGAGCAAAGCTGGTTATTTTTACAGTTTATTTATAGAATCAGTTGGTGTAGGGTAAAAGGCTTCTGGCTTTTCTTAATTCCAGTCAGACATTTGTTGGTTGTATTTGCGATTATGCATCTAAGTTTTTTCTTTTATGTACCATAGGAATTGCTCTACAATCAATAACAGGCAGTCAGCGTAAGTATATTTTAAAATAAAAATTCTTTAGTGATTTTCTAACTTGGGATACCTAAGGTTACCTATGGGGTTTTTACTTGGTCAGATAAACTATATGATAAACTATAACTGTTCATTAAAAGCTCAGAAAATCACGTGACCAAATTACTACTGGCCAGTTGAATCTAGAGTGATTCTTACCGTACCTCTGACTTAGTACATGTGCTCCAGGGTTAACCCAGGAACAATCTTCTAACTTTTTACTTAGAGAACACTTTAGCAGACAAAAATGCCTATCCACTCATATGGTCTTTTTAGCACATGTAACTTTATCTGGTTGATTGTCTGTTGTTTATAAATACATACTTTTTTGCTAGGTGGTGAGATACTATTTTTCTATTTTCCATTTTTGTGCTATTGTTTTTTAACATAGTTCCTATTCTGCAGTTAAAATTGTACCTAAGAAAATAATCCTGTGGGTTCGTTTGAAATTGAATGTTGGATTATCTGTGACCAGTCAGACAAAGTCCACATGTTTTGAGACTGAGTTTTGGGGGCAATATTAAGGACTGTGGTGTCAAAGAAAATGTCACATAATAGGGGATTGATACTTTTCTTATGAAAAAGTAGAAAGTGGATCTTGTAACTTTTTCTTCTTTATGTTTGAAATTAATGTCTTAAAATAATACCAGTTGCAGTATTAATAGGCAGTGTCAGGACACTCAAAAACTTACGTGTAAGTTCTAGAGTATCTAGTATCTAGAATCTACTCAAGATACCAGTAAGGTATCATAGTATTCAGGTTTACGCTGATTGGTTACAGGCTCTATGTACCTATTATTTGTAGTTGATAAATGGACACTGCATTTTTACCTAGTAATTAAAAAAAGTAAGATGTCTTCTATTAATAGTTCTGTTTCTGGGGGGTTTGGCAAAAGTATTTATAATACTGATAAGACGCTAAAATTGTTCCATCTAGATTTTGAGAATTTTGTCTTTAATATTTAGGTATTGAAATAGAAGAGTTACAGAATGAGGAAGAAGAACTAAGTCCGCCTCTCATGGAGTACAATATAAATGTGAAATCAAACTCTGAAATACAGTTTGCAGAACTGAATAAAGATATATCTTCAATACCCAGTGAATCTTCAACAGAATCTCTTAAAGATCTCCAGGAAGTATAAGCTCTCATTAATGTTTCAATTAGCAGAATTTATTCTAGGCCTTTATTTTCTTGCATGTGCTTAAATATCCCAGATGATCTTAACTTGTATTTATCATACTGTTCACACAGAGCCTGAATTGGAATGGTTCTTTCCCCAGTATTTCCTTCCATAACCATTTATTTTTCCAAGATTTATTGAATACTTATGTACCAAGTACTATGCTAGATTTCTGAAAAAATGTCTTTATCCTGACTAATGGAAGTAGATGTAGGAGGGTAGTAGGAAATAGAAGAAAGTATGGTGGGAAAAAAAATAAAGAGAAAAAAACGGAAAGGGGTATTTCACTCCTATTTGCAGAGAGGTCAAATTTAATTATGCAGGATAGAATCTCTATTATATTTCTTTACACATAAGTGGTGACATTTATAGTCACTGAATTCTTCTGAAGCTTAATCTTATCTCTAGACATGAATATGTTGCTTTTTAAAAACTGCTTTCCTTCTTTGTTACTCATGCCCATGTGCCAGTGAGCATCTATGATCACAGTTTTTATCAGTAGCCTGCTTACTGACCTTATGTGTTCCTTTCCATCAGTGATTTTTCAAAGGCAAAAGACTAACATTAAAATAAAAATAATTAAAATGAAAATTTGTTTCATAGACTGTAGACAGAAATACTATCCAAAATATTAGGAGAGAAAAGATCTTAATGGTTAGAGGAAACATATTTTGCAAAATAATTTATTATGTACTTTGACTTGCATATTAAACAAATGATATATTTCTTACCTACTAGGTTAAGAGTAAAGCAAAGAAAAAGAAAAAGACAAAGAATAAAAGGGTAAGAGACTACATTAACATTATAATAGAATTATAATAGAAGGATGTCTGATTATGAACATGAGTTCAATACAGGTATGTGAATTCATTATAAGAATTTAAATTAGTCCAAATAAACATTAACGTAGAGATTTAATAGCTTATTGGATATATGATTATAGAGAAGTCTACTTATGTTATATCTTGAATGATTAAAATAGTATACCATACTTTACTTTCGTAAATTACAATTTACACATTTCACATACAAATAAATAAACTAGGTTACTGAATCAATCTCTGCCTACTCCCCATCTTAAAAATGGTCTTAAGAATAGCTTGTTTCTATCATATCTCTATTAAGATGGTTAGAAGCATTTTTAAAACCTTAAGAAACCTTGACTTTCTTTATGTCTGAGAGTGTGCCAACAATGCAGTAATGTACAAAAAATGGCATAAGCACAAACTTCCTTATGGCATAAGTACAAACTCCCTTCCTTCCTCTTCTTTGATTTTTGACAGTTGGAAAATGAACAAGTAACTATCTGTAGCAGTTTTAGCAACAAGTCTCTTAATTATTGGAAAAACTAAAAGGGAAATCCAGGAAACTTTTATAATTAAGCACACAGTTAACTACTATACTCTGAAAACTCTAAGATGAAACAGTGTTAATATTTTGACCTGAAAAACATATTTAAAATCTTGATATAAACTGAATGAGAATATTTCCACAACTACAATATGGTGAGCTTATGTTATTAGTCATTTGAAAGTGTGCACAAATTTTAATTATTAATGAAACTTAAGGTAATGAAGATGAATTTATAAAATACGTATAAGTCAGAAGCAAAATAAAGAAAATGTATACTCCTAATCTGATAATAATGTTATTATTTTCATATTTATCATAACTATCTTTTATTATAACTTATAATTTCGTTCATTATTTATTTTAAAAGTTAGATTTTGTTTATTAAAGACATGAGTATCAAGATTTTAGTATAGTATAGTATAGTATAAAAATTCTTACCCGATAGAATATAACCTCGTCCATTATGGTAGTGATATTTTTAATTTTGTCAAAATATTAGTAAGTCCCAAGTCTAATACCACATAAAGCTTACCAAGTAAATTCACAGCTGCTAAACCTCAAAGCTAAATACCAAGGGTATATAATGCATCTGTTCTTTATTTCCAAAGTATTATTTCCAAAATATGATAATGCTTAAATTTCCAATTTTAGTTAAATGGAATGTTTCATTTCTACATCACAGCAAACACAACTAAATAAACATAACTACTACTCACTCAAAAATTTGTGACTAGTAACATTATAAATTTCTTATTGAATGTTAGCAAATATCTAGGACTTTTTGTTTCTTTAACAATCTAAGATTTTTTTGAATTTATTTTATTAACTGAAATTGAGATACTTTTGAAAAATATAATAATTTTATCAATTTAAAATTTGGACATTAGTAAACAGATGGTATATCTTGTATCTTTGTCCTAAATTTTAAATTAGGACCTTAAAAAATGCTAAAATTTATGCATATGAAATAATTCCTTTCCAAATAATTAATATTATTATAGGTGCAAAGAATGGTCAGGTTGTAGCATAAGCAATCAGCTACAAAAGTGAAGTCAACCTAATTCTCTAATCAGTAGTTTTCTTGAAAAATTATAGCATTTAGAACTTTGCTTATATACAGAGTGATGACAAAGTCTCCTGGCATGAAATGATGTTCATTATTTGTTTTGCAAATGTCAACCAAACAATCATCCTAAAAATACCTTAGGGACTCTCTGGAGGAGTATAAAGAAAAAGGAAGATTTATGTAGCAAATGCAAGGGGCAGTAAGACAACTTCTAACTAGTATGAACAGGAACTTGTAGCTACTCTATGTGATCTCTTTCTTCAGTTAGGAATTTAGTATTTATTTATTATCTAAGATATCCAAACAAATAACTCTTTTGAGGGTTAATTAAATCCTCCCTCCCTACCCACAGGGTTGTGTAGGCAAAAGAATTGAAGGCTTTTGTGATGAAGCCTTGGGAAAACATAAACATGACAGGAAGTAAATCCAGCCCTCAAATTGAGTGTCCTCTCTAACTTTAGGAGGGAAGTTGTAGAGATGCCTTGATGAGAGGCAGGTACATGCATTGGTATAAGGTTATCTTGGGGTGAGCCAAAAAGGAGTTTGGGAAATAATCAACTATACTACATTACGTTCATTATGAACAACCAAAAGTCTTTCCAACTCAGGTATTCAAGTACACTGGAACCAAGTCAGAAGTCAGTAATTCTAAATTATAGAATCATATTGTCACTGGACGTTGAGCAGAAGATGAGACACTGAAACACAAAAATCCTCTTGGTATACAGATTAGAAAGCAAACAAATTTGTGAAGCACTGTATCTCTGGAGAAGGAGACTCTGAAGTTTCTTGTAAGCAGGAGATGGTAGAAATTGATACTGTGATATTCTTAACTTTAATTTGTGTTGAAGTTACCAATATTACTTTTACTTGATATGTTGTCCTTATAGCTTTATTTAATAAACATAGCATTTGGGGCTTTTTAAGATTTTCTCCCAACTGTGATCTCCTTAATACTTCTTTTTCTATAAGATTCTTAAAATATATATCACTGTGATTTCTTATATGTACATATCCAAGAACCCTTGTATATAGTGTAGGAATTAAATGGGTATGTACATCTATCCTGATGCATACCAGAACGGGTGATTTTCAAATTATGTTTCAAAACTTAGTAGTAGATTATCAAATCAATGTAGTGGGTCACAGCCACCATTTAAAAAATAAAAATAAAATAAATAGGAATAAAAAATACTAACATTCATCACATATGAATAAGATTTATTTCAGGGAAGTTATATTTCAGTTTTATACTGATGTGTGTAAATATATATGTATATACGTATAAGTACATACAACATCATCATATAAGATGTATTACTATGATTGTGATAAAAAAAATTTGAGAAACAGTGACCTACATGCAGTCATATCACTATGTTTATTGACATAGTTAATATAGATTACTAATTCTTGATGCTGTTTTTCAGAATAAGGACTCAAAAGAAGACGAAGTGTAAGTATACTTTATTTTAATTTTTAACTTTTTTCTTTTTAGTATTTTCAAAATATACTTTACCAATATGACACAGCCTTTCTTTGGAAAGTGTTCTTGCTAAGAGAAGAAAGGACAGTCCTCTGTCATAATAAGTCCCCATTTTTTAACAGGACATTACAAAAAGTTAATTTATCATTTGTTTTGGAAGAATAGAATCTCTTACATTTTTTTATAAGGCTGCTCAAGAGTCATCTGATGCTAACTGCTTCATTCAAGAACTAACTTGTGTCTAGTTTAAAATCCTTTAAAATATAGTCTATATTATAGTTAGCCAAATCTAGAATTAGACTTAACTTTAAAGGACAAATCATTATTATATCCCACTCACCATTTACCAAAAAGTTGGGTTTGATTTGTTTTGTTTTGTTTTTTAATTTAACCTGAGGGTTTTTAAAAAAACCCTGTTGTTGACAGTGAATTTTAATCATTTTTTTAAACTTCAGGTTATTATGAGGGTACAAACAATCAGGTCACAATTTTTGAATTTGTTAGGTAGAGTCCCTCTTGTAGTTGTGTCCCATGAATTTTAATCCTTTAATGGAAACATTTTAGCATCACAGGATCACTGTGAGATGTATTGTGCATGATGGAAGACAGTATGATAGATGAAGGAAGGGGGGAGACAGTCCAATGAAGTGATCATTTTTCCCACCAAAAAGTTTAACTGAATATTAATAACTTTAGAGAAGTCAGAGGACATAGGATGTCTTTAAAATGGCAGCAGGAATGTATTTGTTAACTTTAAAGCTATTGTAGTTGATATTTTATAATTGTTTATGGACATGGTCTACTTGGTTTGTGAAATAGTTAATCATCCAAGATGTGTTTTCACTTGGCAACAAGTTGAGCCACTGAAGCAGCAATTTTTTTTCAGGCTGTGTCTAAATGCCATGAAAATAAATTAATAAAGGTGAAACAGTGTTATCAATCATTGTAGATCCAAATCTGGATGGTGATCAGATCTCCCAAGGAACTTTGTTTTTAAATTAGGTTTTCAAATATACCCCCAAATAAAGATAATATATATACATATATAAGTATATATATACACACACACACATACACCTGTCATCCTGATTCAACAGTTATCTCTGTTTTTCACGTTTCATGCTTCCTTTGACAACTTGTTCCTTCTTGAAGTGCTTTCAATCCCAGGCATTATTATAATTTTACTTCTTCCTTTAGTTTGCATCTCTTAGAAATATGAATGTTTTCCTGTATTGTTCCAGTGCTATTATTGTATAGTTATTTGCTACTTACTACCTAACAATGTTTCTGTCGGTGACGGAATGCATATGATGGTGGTTCCATAAAATAATAATGGAGCTGAAAAACTCTTATCACAAATTCCTATCACCTAGTTACAGAGCCACCAAACATCATAGTGCATTTACGTTATTTTTAAGACAAATTGAGTGCAGCCTAAGTTTACGATGTTTATAAAGTTTATGGTCATGTATGGTAATGTCCCAGGCTTTCACATTCACTCATTACTTACTCATGCATAATCATTCAGTCCTGTAAGCTCCATTCATGGCCCTAGACAGGTATACCAATTTTTAATCTTACATTGCATTTTTATTGTACCTTTTCTATGTATGTACAGTATTTTCATTTGTTTAAGTGGTCCCTGTTAGTAGTTCATTTACTGAAATCAATGTTATTACTACAGTTTTTTAAAAAGCCCTGTTACGAAAGAAACTTTCCATTTTACAGGTTACCTTGTGTTGCTATTTTCAACCTTCTATTTAAATTGTGCATTGGACCTAAGCACTGAAATTGATTAAATCAACCTACTTGTCAAGAAAATTGTGGGGGGAAAAATAATGTTATGATGGTAAAATAATATAGCAGATGTGGAAATGCATGCCAATAATATTTCTCAAAGTACTGTTTCTCAAAGTAACTGATATTAATGGTTATAATTTGAAAAATGAATGCTATAGTTTCATAACTTTTGAAAACACTGAGCTGAACAGAATTAAATAAGTACCTTGATTGATTGCTATCTCAAATGTGCTGATGTGAATCTTCAAAAGAAAGCACTGTCCAAACATTCTTTGAGTTTCTAATGCTGAACATCTCATGAGACTAGTACAATTCTAATTGGGAAACAATAGCTTAGGTAAAAAGCACTATACAATTAAAAATGATCACATTGATTGTGTCTCCACTCTAGCCCATATATGGCAGAAAAGGAAGAACATTTGAAGAACGAACAAGCAAATCCACATTCAGTCAGTGGATTTATAAAAGATGATGCAAGTGATGTTCAAGAGGATTCTGCAACAGAAGACAAGTTCTACAGCCTGGATGAACTGCATATTCTGGACATGATAGAACAGGTGAGCCTGGTCGGAGAAAGTACATCTTTCCTTTCCTTCTTTCAGATACTATTGTTAACTTGTTTTTTCCCTGTGATTCTTGGAACAGCATGAGTCTTCGAGAAACCTAGTGGTTTATGTTTTGTTTGTGAGGAGAAAGTAAAAAACAGGAAAGGAGGTCTGAGGGAATATATGAAAGAAAATAGAAGAAGAAGAAACTCCCAGGAGCTGGAAACTTCACTTTGGCCCTCAAATCATTTCTTGCTTTAAATATGGGGCAAAGTTGATTATAGATGGATTTCTTGCAAAGGGTGTTTGAATACCACAAGAAAAAAAAACTGGCATAATCTCACTGGATTAAATGCCATGAGAAAAATAGTTTTGTAAAACAAAGCTACTTTCATTTTATTGAATTAAATCTAATTGCTACTGTGTAATGTCTACAAAAAAAATTAACATCTAACAATTTTTTCTGGTTCCATTCCTGGTAGTAGTCACTGTAGAATGAGGTTCCTGTATAAGAAGAAGCATACATATGTATAAACAAGACTTAACTGCTCAGTAGAACACTTCATTAGACAAAGCAAATGATTTTTTTTAAATGGCTTATTTTACCCACTCATGAGCATTCAGTGAATCTGTTCTGTGGTTTAAATATAATGGTACATAGTATGTAGGATTATTCATTGTCTTAAGGATACTGTTAATACAAATGATTCTCTAGCTGGTAGAACAATATTTATGTAATTGCTATACCTTTTTTCCTCTTTTTCAGTTAGAATATGTACATTTTAACTGAGGTGACATTCTTATCTTTGGATGTCACACCAAAGTTTAAAGATGGCACCTCTGGTTTTCATTCAGTAGCCATAAGAATTATGAGAACTCAAAAATAGAATCAAAGTGTCACATACCTTTCAAAAAATGTTTGTTCGTTCATTTATTCAAAAGCATTTAACACCTGCAGTGTGTCAAGAGCAATACTTAGACATGGTCTCTCTTAGTATAGTATTTAAAATCTAGTGGGTAAATTAAACATTAAACTGAGATGATACAGTGCTTGGGCAATTAAGACTTAACCTATATTAGAATCCAGTCTTCTTTACTTAACCATGTGAATGTGAGCAAGTTACTGATTTTATCCTTTCTAAAATGGGAATAATGCATGCCTTCCTGATACAGTTCTTATGATAAACATTATCAAAAAATGCTTAAAACTAGTAAGCATGCAGTTAGTGTTAGCCAGTAGCAGCAGCAGCTGGTATTGTTTAGTGAATGCTGTAATGCAGGTGAGGTGGGTTTATCTAAACAAACAGTGATAGTTGAGTTGAGGCAAAAAACATGAAGAGGAGTAAGATAGCAAAAGTAAATCCCTTTTAAATAATCAAAATATCAGTGATTATTTTTTTGAGAGAAAAATAAAGAACATGTATATTCCATTTGCTCAATAGGGCTCATCTGGCAAGGTGGCTGCAGACTACGGAGAAACAGAAAAGGAAAGGCTTGCTCGTCAGCGGCAGCTTTATAAATTGCACTATCAGTGTGAAGTAAGTATGTCTGTCATTAGATCTAAGGGAAGAGAGAAGTTTTAAAAATGTTAAACTTAATGGCATTTTATTTTTTAAAAGGACCCTGTTTGGGCTCGGCACCTGTAGCTCAGCAGCTAGGGTGCCATCCATATACACTGGCCTGGCGGGCTTGAACCCGGCCTGGGCCTGCCAAACAACAATGATGACAGCTATAACAAAAAAATAGCCGGGTGTTGTGGTGGGCGCCTGTAGTCCCAGCTACTTGGCAGGCTGAGGCAAGAGAATCGCTTAAGCCCAAGAATTTGAGGTTGCTGTGAGCTGTGATGCCAGGGTACTCTTCTGGGGGCCACATAATGAGACTGTGTCTCAAAAAATAAATAAATAAGGACCCAGGTTTTTTTTTTTGTTTGTTTGTTTTTTTGCTTTCCATTTCTGGTGACTTGAACAGAATTAACTGTGAAATAATATTTTTCATTGATCAGGATTTCAAAAGACAGTTGAAAACAGTGACTTTTCGGTGGCAAGAAAACCAAATGCAGATTAAAAAGAAGGACAAAATCATCGCATCTCTTAACCAACAAGTGGCTTTTGGAATCAATAAGGTTTCCAAGTAAGAGCAAATCTTTAATAAAAGGGAAATTTCTGTGTTTGTTCCATAATGAACAGCATTTTTAATAGTTAATCTCTATAGCCACTAGGTGGCATTGTGACTGCACGTTAAGAGTTCCAACCACTGGACTGTGCTTACTTAAAAACCAACTTTTTTTTTTTTTGCCTTGACAAACAGATTGAGAGAAATAAGCAGCTGCTCATACTATATATTAAGCTTTTCATGTATTAGTGGAGCAAGTGTGAAGTTAATAGAATTAACATAAGAAAGATAATTAACTTTTAGGTCATGGCTCTAATTTGAAAAAATGTGACTAATGAGTGCTGCTTCTTTATAGCATCTGATGAGTACATTTCTCAAAGACACTCATGGAATCGGTTGAGTGTTTTTTATGTTGGTCTCAGAATATTTGTGTTCTAAGCCTGAGAGACTGAAAAATCAAGTTCATAGAGACTCTCCCCTCCTCCCCTGCCACTAGTCTCTTTTTTCCTGCAACCTTAAATTTTAATGCCTAAAACCAAAAATTCAGACTTAACAGGGAAATGTAAGTGACCTGCTTTATTCTTTTCGGGCTAATCACTGCCTCCAAACTGTGTTCATTGAAATGGTAGCATAGTTTGTAACGCATTGTTTTAAGAAACAGTAATACACAAAATACCAGCTCTAGATGAAGCCTTGTTTTTATAGTTATAGAATGTAAATAAGGAGAATGGACAAGTGCTAAGAATGTTTTAGAGGAAGAAGTCCAAGGTAGTTCTTGTAAAGTTGGAGAGATACTTGACAGAGTTTGCTTTACTCTCATATGCTACATCTCCAACATGAAAGGGCTCATTTGGAAGACCTGGATGCTATCATTCCAGCAATAGAATTTCAGTCACGACACTCTCAGACTTGTCCCTACTGGAGTTAGAGAGATCCTTCAAGTTCAAAAGGCAGTGAGGACCTAGGAAAGGTAGGGCAAACTAAGCTGGTTGCAGTCACTGAAGAAACCATTTGTTAGGATTAATGGTCTTTTAGCTTGGAAGGTGAAGGTGACCAATCCAGAAGTACGTTATATAATATCAGAGATTAGAAAAGCAAATACCATCAATACAGATGAGCTGCCTCTCTCCTTTACCATCTGCCTCTGTCCCTCCTCAGCTCTGATAGCTGGCTCATGCATATTTTTATATGCTTCAGGCTAAAATAGATTTCTTTGCAGGGGTGGCCCACCTGTGGCCCACAGGCTACGTGTGGATTACACAAGGACTTTTTTGCTTATCTGAGGTGGCCGATATCACGACTTTTTTTTTTGCTCATCAATGCTTTCGTTAGTGCTTGTGTATTTAATGTCTGGCCCAAGACAACTCTTCTTCCAATGTGACACAAAGAAGCCAAAAGGTTGGACACCTCTGCAGGGATGACTAGATCTCACACAATAAGCATTCAGTGTTGAGTATTTACCATACATGGGCCAAGTGCCACTATGTTAGAAAAATTATGTAAGGAACATGTAGAAGATACCAAGATATGCGAAACATTGTTTATGAGCTAATGGTAAGTATAGATTAACATGTAAAGATTAAAATTACATTCAATAGAGGGACTTCCATGTCCATCAAAATATAATAGCCCCATGTTTCACAGTGGTTTTCTCTCAAAACTTAAACCCCCTGGATATAACACAGTAAACAAGCCTAGGAATAATCCAAGAAGGTAGAATAGGAAGCAACGTGTAAGGACAGTTAGACTTTGGGAACAAAATGGCAGTTAAATTTCCCTATTGTCTCCCATATAGCCCAGACAGAGCACTGTGAGTCTTCAATCTGGAACTGCCAATAAGCACAGGGGAAGAAAACTCCAAGAAAAGCCTGCTCTCTCTAGTCCAGTGTTTTTTAATCTTTTTTATTTAACAGCACACTTGAACCTATAGTTAACGTCTGTGGCACACTTAAATTATGTTGATCAAAAAAAAAAAGAATAAGAAAAAGAAGATACTTATTTTGCTTTGAACTTCTTTGGAAAATAATTTAATTGATGATCTTTAAAAATTTTCACAGCCCACCTAAGATCCTTGTATGGCACACCAGTTGAAAATCACTGCTGTAGACAAAGGATCAGGAAATGGAAAGTATAACAACAGAAAATCTTTTTGATAATACCCATCTAACTTCAGTCAAACACCAATGGCCCCATACCACTCCTCAGAAGTAGGCAGTATATTCTGATTCTTCCACCTGACAGAAGTAGGTGGAAGCAATCCTACCCGCCTCCCAAGACAGTGTCAGCAATGCTAAGCAGGCAATTGACTTCCAAGTCCTAGCAGGCAGAAGGAGGTAGTACTCCAGTTCCTCTGCCAAGATATGTCAGTGTGGTCCCACTGCGGGATGAGCCTCTGCCTCTATCCAGCATCAGTGTGACTTAAGCCAGTGCATGGCAGTCAGTGCTAGGCTTCACTCCCATTCTTCTCATGGGAACCTAAGTCTTCATCCATGGGGCTAGTTGGCATTACATTTCCCCCCTCTCCTCAGCTCGTGTCAGCAGGGCCACATCAGGCAGCTGGGATGTAGCCTCCCCCTGCAGCAACAAAGTTATATGAGTCAGCTCTTTGCTTTCTCCTTTCCTGGAGTCCAAAGGGCGAGCAAGGAGCAGGTCTTATATATAACTTAGAGGCCAAAGTGTGAGCTGGTGCTCCACTTTTATGGGAAGCTTTTAGTGGAACTGAGGGAAGAGCTGAACTTCTATACCTGTTGTCTGCATTGAGGCAGTGTGAGTCAGTGCCCACTTTTGCTGGGGTACTGTTGGCAGAGCCCAGTGCAAAAGTGAACATACACACCTCCTTAGCTCATATATAACACCTCAATAGAGAGACCACCTGCTAAAATTAGGAAAATTAAATAAAATTCAGAGGTTTGTAATATCCAGAATATCTAGGCTGCAATAGAAAACCTTCCCCATACTAAGAACTAGGAAATTCACAACATGAAAGAGAAAAGACAACCAATGACAATATAATAATGATTCAGGTATTGGAATTATCTGACAAATATTTGAAAAGAATCATCACAAAAATGCTTCAATGACATTGAATTCTCTTGAAACAAGTGAAAAATCTAGAAAATAGCAGTAAGAAATGTTTTAATAAAGAATGAAAGTTATAGAACTAGAAAATAAAATAATTGCAATAAAAAAGTATGGGATATAGTCACTAGTAGAGGAGAGATAATGAAGTATTCTGCTCATCTGGGGACAGATGAGTAGAATTTACCTAATCTGAATAGCAAAGAGAAAATAGGGCAAAAATTAAAAAGACAAGTATCGGAGACTGATAATAGGACAGTAACAAAAGAGGCAAAGTACTTATCATCTAAATTTCATAAGCGGAGCAATAAAGGGAGGGGGTGTGGATCAAAATGTATTCAAAGAAATAACTGAAAACTTCCCAAGTTTGAGGACATACATAAATTCACAAGTTCAAGAAACTAAGTGGACCGCTGTTGGTAAACACCCAAAGAAATCCAGGCCAGTACAGACACATCACAACTAAACTTTTGAAAACTAAAGACAAAAGTCTTGAAACCATGCAGAGACAAACATGATTTATGTGGGAACACTAATTTAAATGACAGTAGATTTTTTAATCGGAAACCATACAGGCCAGAAGGAAGTGGCATGTTATTCAATTAGTGAAAGAAAACAATCAGGAATCCTGTATTTAGCAAAAAATTCTTTAGGAATAAAAGACCAAATAATTAGACAAAAAAACCCAAATAATTAAATGGCAGACTTAAACTCTGACATATCAATAATTACCTTAAATGCAAATGTTCTAAATACACCAATTAAGAGACAAAGAGTGGCAGAGTAGATTTAAAAACAAGCAAAATGTAATCCCACAATATGCTGTTAATAAGGAACTCACTTCAAATACAACACAAATAGTTCACAAGTAAAGAGTGGTAAAAGACATTCTATGCAAACATTTATCAAAAAAAAGTAGGAGTGGCTGTATTAAAATCAGATAACGAGGACTTAATAGAAGACTGCTAAGAGGGACATTGCATATTGATAAAAGAATCAGTCCACCGGGAAGAAATAAGAACTTAAATGTACATGTGCCAAACAACAGAACATCAAAACACATGAGGCAAAACTTGATAGAACTGAAAGAAGTAAAAAATTTACCATTGTAATTGAGAGCTTCAAACCCTACTCTCAATTTATAGGACTACTAAACAGAAAATCAACAAGGATGTAGAGAAGACTGTCAACCAACAGGATCTAATCAATATTTATAAAAGCTCTACCAGACAACCACAGAGTACACAGGCTTTCAAATGCCCACAGGACATATATCAAGATAGACCATATCCTGGGCCATAAAACAAACCTCAATAAATTTTAAAAGGTTGAAATCATACAAAGTATATTCTCAGATCACAATGGAATCAAACTAGACATCAGTAACAAACATCAGCGTTTGAAAACTCCAGACACTTGGAAATTACAATCTATGTCTAATTAATCCAAGGGTGAAAGAAAACATCTCATGGGAAACAAAAATACATTGAACTGAATTACTATGAAGATCTAATATATCAAAATTTGGGGTATACACCAATGCTGAGAAGATTGTAACACTAAATTCACACATTAAGAAAGGGTAGAGTTTCAAATGGACATTCTAAGCTCTCACTTTAAGATCTCAGAAAAAGAAAACCAAAACAGATGTAAAAGAGAGATACAATGGAGTTGGAAACAGGAAAACACTAGAGAAAATCCATGAAACAGAAAGCTGGGTTTGGGGGGGTTTTTTGTTTGTTTGTTTTGAAAAGATTAACAAAATTAGCAAATCTCTAGCAAAACAGAAGAGCAAAGACATAAGCTGGATGCGGTGCCTTACACCTGTAATCTTAGCACTCTGGGGTGGGTGGATAGCTTGACCTCACAAGTCCGAGACCAACCTGAGCAAGCGTGAGACCTCGTCTCTACTAAAAATGAAAAACTGAGGCAAAAAAACTGCTTGAGCCCAAGAGTTTGAGGTTGTTGTGAACTGTGACACCACGGCATTCTACCGAGGGTGACAAACTGAGACTCTGTCTTAAAAAAAAGAGAGAAGATATAAATTACTACCATCCGGAATGAAATAGTGATACCATTACAAACCCTGCAGACATCAGAGAATTACGCTGAGTGAAAGAAGCCTATCTCAAATGCTTATATGCTATGTCACCATCAGTAGAGTGCCCTGGCGTCACACCTCATGGCAACCTCCAGCTCTTGGGCTTAGACCATTCTCTTGCCTCAGCCTTCCAAGTAGCTGGGACTACAGGTGCCTGCCACAACGCCCAGCTATTTTTTTGTTGCAGTTTGGTTGGGGCTGGGTTCAAACCCACCACCCTCAGTATATGGGGCTGGCACCCTACTCACTAAGCTACAGGCGCCGACCTCGATAACATTCTTGAAATGACAAAATTATAAAAATGGACAACAGATTGGTGGTTCCAAGCTTATGAAAAGAGGAAGGGAGGGGGAAGGGAGTGGATGTGTCTCTAAAAGGGCAAAATGGTAGTAGAATCCTTCAGTATCTTGCCTGTGTAACAGTTAACATTCTGGTTATGATATGTACTATAGTTTACAGGATGTTGCATTGGGAGAAATCTGAGAGAGTACATGGGATCTTTCTGCATTATTTCTTAAACACTTGCCTGTGAATTTACAATTATCTAAAAATGAAAAAATTATTTTAGAAAGTACATATAAATAACTGTTAAGGTTATATATTTTGTAGGGCTTTCTTGGGTGGGGGGTAGAGAGAGTACTTTTGATTGTTGTGATAAGGAAGAACTTCCTTCAGGGAAGAAAGAACTTTATTGAAGACATGACACTGAATTTAACATGATAGGCTAGGTAGGATGAGAGAAGAGAAAGGACAGGCCACCCAGGTAGACTAGAAAGCATGAGCACTCTTATATAAGCTTCTTATACAAACTTTTGAACTTTTTCTTTGTTTTATTCACCTGAACGTTTCTAAGAGTAAAATAAACTATACTTTTTTTTTTTTTTTTGGAGACAGAGTCTCACTATATTGCCATTGGTCGAGTACCGTGGCGTCATAGCTCACAGCAACCTCAAACTCTTGGGCTTAAGTGATTCTTTTGCCTCGGCCTCTCAAGTAGTTGGGACTGCTGGCACCCACCACAATGCCCAGCTATTTTTTTGTTGCAGTTGTCATTGTTGTATAGCTGGCCCAGACCAGTTTTGAACCTGCCAGCCTCTGTGTATGTGGCTGGTGCCGTAACCACTGTGCTACGGGTGCCAAGTCTCAAAATATACTTTTTTAATTATACTTTTTATCTTAGAAAACGGATTGTATTAGGTAGCCAAAGAATGTTTTTTCTTTGGCTTAATTCAATGTCATGTCTGTGGTAAATGTTCGGCAAATATTTGTTGATGATAATCGAGGTACTAAGGAAAATGTATATAAAGTGATCTATTTTGCACAAACTACAATAAGCACTTAATAAACATCAAGAAACTACTATCAATAAAATTTCTGTAATAAACTTGACAGTTTCTGTCAATAAATAAAGTTTCTGTAATAAACTTTAGATCTTTTATAAAGAAAATACAATAATGCTGCCCTGTTGTGTTATACAGTTACATCTACTTGAATATATATAGCTTGTTCATATCTGAACCAGATAATAAGAACTATGCCTACCTTATCTTTCAATATTTAAAAATCTAGATCTTCTGAATTCCCCACTAGTTCTGCCAACTCTTACTGCCCACTCTAAACGAGAGCTGGTAAAACATTGAAGTAGTGGAAGTATGCAAAGGAAAAGCAGCTCTCAACTTTAGAAATCTTACCACTTTCACCCTCACGTGAACCTGAAATAAATTTACTTAAAATTAAAAGGAAAAAAGAAATCTTACTACTTTCAACTCTGTCAACGTATTTCTGTATATTATAGTAACAAAGCTTATATTTCTTACTTGTCACTTGAGAACATGACCTCTTTTGTACAGAACAAAACCTGGTTTCTTTTCACTGCATTCTCAGATCAACAACATTGATTATAAGTCTTTACAGCTTCTAAGAAGCTTAACGGTGAGTGGTTCATCTCTGAAAACTAGTGGTACGCAATCCAGCCAACATTGAAGTCATGGTTTCAAGGCTTTATCATTTCAGTAATTTATATTAATTCCAACTCCCATGTATCCCAAAAGTCTGAACTTATGAGATACTTAAAGAGAAATGTACTTGTGCTATAAATCTCATATTGAAGGTAATTGGGAGTTTTATTTAAAAACTTGGTTGTAAAAAGAAACATAGCAGCATGAGAGAGGAACATCAAAAATGGTATTGGAAATTATGTCAACTAAAAAGTATTACTTTGCATTTCTCTCAATAGTTTCTTGCTTATTAAGTTTTAAGTTGATCACAGGTTATACTTTTTGGTTGAAAAGTATATAAAATTTATATTCATTTTTCTATAATTAGGTCGTGTGAGTGACTCCCAAGTCTGATTTCCTTCAGACCTTAAGTCTTTGATAATTTGCATGATTTGATATAATATCTCTTGAAGGAACGTAAAGTTCTCAATCCCACCATAGGCTTAGAAAATCAGAAAGTGCCATCTTTGTTTTCTAGTGGGAAACTAAAAAGCTGAAGATGTTTTTCCAAATCATTAAGCTGGGAATATAAGATAAACACTTCTCAATCCCTTTCTGATTTACAATTAGGACACAGTTCTCCTTTTTGGGTGAAGTCAGTAAATCAGACATCAGAAACAAGAAAGATAAATGTCAAAGGAGCAGATATAGGAATTGAATTATTGTTTTCAGGGTTAAGATTTGTGGCCTAAAATGGACGTGTATGGTCCTCTCATCAGCTGCTGACAGAGCTATTCTGTGTTAATGAGAAATAATTTCTAACATTTTATCACTTTCTTTCTTATTTGCTTAGATTACAACGTCAAATCCACGCTAAAGATAATGAAATCAAGAACCTTAAAGAACAACTTTCCATGAAAAGGTACAAACTTAGTTTTCTCTTTGGGTGGATACACCCTCTTTGTTTTGTTTATTTTTTTAAAATTTATTTTTTATTAAATCATAAATACCTAGATCATATATACATCAATGCATTTATGGGGTACACCCTCTTTGAAACTCAGTACGTTCTGGCTACAGTAACTTTATAATTTATTGATCAAACTGGGTTTCTTTTGAGCCTGATGTTGAGCAGTATTCACAGTTTTACTGCAGCAATAGGTGTAAACTGGAAGTGTCCTAGGCACATTGGGAGGTACAGTAGAAGCTCTGCCTCTAGAAAACTGCTGGGAGAGATTGTTAAATACTGTAGCTGTCAACAAAGTTATAATGCCATAACAAACTACTGCCAAGAATTAAGAGCTTCAGAAAATTTTTATTTCTTTACTTTAATCAATGCTTCTAAGTGTTGCTGCTTTATAAAACTGATTAAGTACTATTCTGATTTACCTGTTTTTGCCTGTGGGTAATTTTTTTTTTTTTTAGACAGGGTCTCACACTATTGCCTGGAGTAGAGTGTAATAGGTGTGATCACATCTCACTGCAGTCTCAAACTCCTGGGCTCAGGTCCTGCCTCAGCCCCTGAGTCGCTGGGACTCAGGCATGTGCCACCATACCCAGCTAATTTCTCTTATTTTTTGTAGAAATGGAGTCTAGCTCTTGCTCCGGGTGGTCTCAAACCTCATCTTCCCAAAGTGCTAGTATTACAGAGTGAGCCACCACACCCAGTGATCATTTTTTTTATAACAGCTTTTCTGAGATGTATTTTATTCATATAGCACAAAATTCACCCTATTAAAATATACAGTTTGTTGTTCTTCTAGTACATTCACTGCTATCCATTTCCAGAACATTTTTATCACCCCCCAAAGGAAGCCTGTACATTAGAAGTCACTCCCTACTGCTCCCTCCTCTAGCTTCTGGCAACCACTAATCTATTTTCTGTCTCTAGGTATTTGCCTATTTTAGACATTTCATATAAATTAAATCACATGGTATATGGCCTCTTCTGATTAACTTCTTTCACGTAATATTTTCAAAATCATCCATGCTATAGCATGTATCAATACTCATTTCCTTTCTATGGGTAAATAATATTCTATTCTTTGTGTATACCACATTTTATTTTTCATCAGTTGACGGATATTGGCTTGTTTCCATTTTTTGACTATTGGGAATAATGCTGTTATGACCATTTATATGCAGATTTTGTATGAACATATTTTCATTTCTATTGGGTATATACCAAGGAATGGAATTACTGGGTTATCAATAAACTTTCTTACTAACTTTTTGAGAACTGCATTGTATTACAGTCCCACCAACAATGTATTAAGGTTCCAATTTCTCTACATTCTTATCAATGCTCATTAGATTATTGGTTTTTACTTGACCCATTATATTACTTGTGAAGTAGCATATCATTACGGTTTTGAATTACATTTTCCCATTGACTATATTGAGCATCTTTTTTTTTCTATATTTTAATATACTTCAAATGATTTTTCTTTAATGACAGGGTCAATAGCTTTTAGAAACTTAAACCATTTTCTATTATATTTCAGACATTTAAAAATTTCTCATAGCTATCAGACTTTCTCAGTCAGCCTTTAAAAGTTTAAAGTCAACTTCTTAGATTTTCTTCTAATACAAGTTAGATCTTTTAAGATACTCCAGGATTGTCTTTCAGTCATAAGAATAATGTTATAGACACATGTGTAAGATCTGTGTGTGTATCTTTCTTGATGTAATATTTACCTTTTCCCAATCATAGAAGCCTTTTTTATGTTTTCCTTCATTTCCTTTCATGATAATCATAAACTGTAATAACTGTATATAATGTGCATACAGTATGTAGACACTGTGCATATGTACAGTATATACAATGTACTAAAATGCTATCGTACCTTTTGCTTAAAATACAGTTCACAGAATGGTAGAACTGATACAATGACACTTTTTTTTTAAAGAGAAGTTGATTGAATCCTTCTGTAGTACATGACTGCACAATTATGACTTTAAACAAAAGTTACACTTCACAAGTTCTTATGTTTTGTATCATGTTGTTTAAAGTCTTCCAAATGAAAAATGGAGAAAGTATATGACATCATGCTTCATGGTATAACATGCATATATATATATATATATACGTGTGTGTGTGTGTGTGAAATATATATATGTGTGTGTGTGTGTCTGTGTATATCACATACACACATACACACATTAGTTTGCATATAACTATATGAAAAACAAGGAGCCCTTGGGGACTAGCTGAAACCTGTGGCTGCTGTGCGTGGGTCTGGGAGAGCAGTGCAGTAGACCCAGAAAGCTTTTCTGTGTCTTTCCAGCCAAGCACACAGCTCATAGTCAGGTGGGGGGCATCTTTTCATGATACACAGCTAATTCAGGTTGCAGTGGTCTGTATCCAAGACTGTTAGTCCTAATACCATATAGTTGGACCTTTATTTTTCAATAGCTGAGAAGGTATTTATATTTATTTGTCTTTTATTTTTATATGTATGGACCACAGCAGAGGGTATTCCAATGGCAAGGTTATCATTTTAGTACTTTTTATAGGCCATTACTGGTCAGGAAATTTGCCCACATTTTGTCTTTATTGTCTAAGAAATGTTAGACATTATTTAAAATGAAAAAAGAGACATGGTCAAATGAGGAAACATGTCACATAGAAAACGTGAAGGATATCTTATTTTCACTATTTGAAAAGAATATATTTTATTTTTAGTACATAATAGCTATATATTTTGGGCATAATATATAGCTTTTTATAACTGTATACATTATATAATCTAGGTTGTAATTATTTCATGTACTTATTAGACAAATGTCTATTCAAATTCTTGGCCCATTTAAAAAACCGTATTGTCTTTTTGAAGAAATACAATTGAATTTGTTGTTGAATTTTAAGAATTTCTTGTGTGCTTTGAATATAAGTCCCTTATCAGATACATGATTGGCAAATATTTTCTCTCATTCTATGGGTTATATTTTCACTTTTGTGATGATGCTGTTTAAAGCACCAAAGTTTTTGATTTTGATATCAGTTCATTGTTTTTTACTTTTTTCTGTACGAAAATTTTGTTCAGTATTTAATGACAATAAATAATTCCTCTAATATTTTTGTTTGATTATTTTGTGCTTTTCTTCCTCTCAAAAAACTCTGGCTTTAATGGTATTTACAGTATATTGTTATCAGTTATCTCATCAGTGTTTGTCAGGGCCTCAAGAATCCAGATGTTTTCTAATAATAAAACACTGAGATGGCTCTTGTGACAGTCCCTATTTTAATGTTATATTTTTATTTGTTTTCATTAAAGAAAGAAATTGAGTTGTATTATATAGAATTCTGGGATTTAAGCGTAGGAAGCTGAGATGGGATAGGAGAAAACAAGCCTCATAGGTAGTCATGTTACATGATGTCCTTCTTAAACAATGTCCTTACCATCATTCATCTCCTTTCTTGGCATACCTCTCAAGTTATAGGATTGGCTTTCATTCTAAGATGTTGAATCTGAGCACTAAAATAATCAGTAAAATATTTTAATGCAGTGACTTCACTTTATGATAAGAATAATAAAAACCTAAGTGGTTGCTATTTTGGGAATGCAAAAAAGCTTATAGAAATGTTATTTTATATGAAGTATATTAATAATGATAATAGCTAACATTTATTAGTACTTATGTGCCAAATGCAAAGTTCTTTTTTTTTTCTTTTTTTTTTTTTT